TTTAATCCTTCCAATTTCCCTCTCTGTTATTATTGGCACTAGAGGCCCAGTGTATGAAATTTGTGCACAGGGCGGGGGATCCTCTCAGCCAAGCCTGCACCCTCTCCAATCTGGGACCCCTTGGAGGATGTCCAACTGCCAGTTTAGGCCCTATCACGGGTATCGGGCCTAATCACTCTCACAATCCTGGACCACTGGCTCCTAATCACTCACCTGCCTGCCTTTTCTTAACTGCCCCCCCCCGCCCCCGCTGGCCTGGTTACCCCACACAGCCTGCTTGTTCAGTCATTTGGTCATCCCTCACTAACCCCCTTGCCAGCCTGGTTGTAGGCAGCCGTCTTGTGAGGGCATGAGGGTTAATTTGCATATTACCTCTTTATTATATAGGATTAGAAAAAAAAGAACACCAGCTTAGCTGTGGATGTGCCCTGAAAGGAATGAACTTGGCCTGATTGTTCCTCTGACTTTAAGGACTATTTGTACATAGTTGTGCAAGAGTAGTGTTTTGTTTTTAAGTATTTGCCTTATTTTTCCCACTAAACTGCCCACTGGCACCATGCCCTTTGTTGGTCTGCCTGTGGTTGCCATGGCTCAGAGCTTGGGATGTGTGGCTGAGCAGTCACTATAATTAGTTTAACTGACCTCAGTGGTGTGTGTTAGTGGGGGTGTACCTGGAAGGCAGCCTTTGCTCTTTTAAAAAAACTTTTAAAAATTTATTGGGGTAACCATTGGCAGGTGAAGTTATACAGGTTTCAGGTGTACAGTTCTATAAGACATCATCTGTGCTTTGCATTGTGTCTTCATCACCCCAAGTCAAAGTCTCCTTCCATCAGGTAGCCTTTATTCTGAGTTGGACATAACCTCAGCCCTCACTGAACTTGGTTCTGGCTACTTTTGGAACCCAGCCAATTATCAAGTTCTAACGCATGACCTAGTAGTCTTCTTGGAGTAGCAGGAATTCAGGAGAAATCTGGCTGCTTTGTCAAGCCCTCGCCTCCTCCGTCCTGCACACAAACTGTTCCAAGCAACAGGAGATGTTCCAGGCAGGACGGGATCAGCTCTTTCTTCTTGGGAGAGTGATCCAGTGACCCTGAACGTCTGTTGGCCTCATCTCCACCAACCCCCACAGTCTCTGGCCCTCCTTCTATCTGCCTACTACAGCTGGAGCCTCAGCCCTCCCTCTGCCCGGAGGCCTTGCCCCCGCCTCCCTCTCCCTTACGCAGGTCCCAGCTGTAGCTCTAAGCTCTTCCTCTGTCACTGCTCCGCCCATGAGAGAAACACCCGCAGGGGAAGTTTCCTGTTCCCAGCCCAGACTGGGTCCAAGCTGGCAGAGATGGACCATCTAAAACCCGAGGTCCTCCCAGCCAGGCACTGCTGCCCCTCCCTAGGAATGCAGGCCCTGGAGGCTGGCATCATGAGGTTCTCAGTGCCACCCTCCATCAGGTAGCTGCCACTGAGGATCCGAGGGCTGAAGGGGCATGTTTCTGTACTCTGTGTGGGAGGGGGCTGTCATACACGTAGTCGGGCAGCAGCAGGGGGAGAAGCTTTGAGCGAGGCCGCGCAGTGGGTGGTAGCTGTGACGTGTGAGCCAGCCGGCAGGGTCCTTATCACCCTTACCCTGGGTGGAAATGCAGCAACTGTCACTCGACCCTGCCTCTCTGGGGCTTGGCTGCCTGCCGGCTTCTGACGCCCCCTGCCCCCATCTCATGTAGCAGGAGCTCAGCCATGGTGA